GAGCGCTGGGATTACAGGCATGCACCACCATGCCCGGCTATTTTAAAAAATTTAGATAGGGTATTTTTTCAATCATGCCTCCTATCACACCAACTATAACGTGTACATCATTAATGGTTTTTCTTTTCTAAAAAGACTTTTTCTTTTGTATTATCTGTTTGTATAAATTGTATTTCTTTTGTATAAATAGCATGGAAAGTGATGGGTGGCTATGTCTGCTACAGACCTCAAAATCAAGGGAACCCCACAAGGTAGGGAAGAGCAGAAGCTGTTTCTATGTCTGATCTCACAAAGACCTGTCATGGGATCATTAAACCTCCTAGTATTTTCCCTTATATATTTGCTTTATTTTTAAAAATTTTATTGTGTTTTCAATGGAGAAATACATCATCTGTTTACAGAAGAGCTCTTGAAAAATAAAGGAGCACAGATACTATAAAACAAAGCAATCTCCAGCCATGAGACACTGCATACGTCACGCAAAAGCAACAGTCTGATTTCCAGATTATGAAACTAGAACTAAAAAATCACTACACAAAGAAAGTACAAGTTTGCAGTTTGGCAAAACTTACATACAGTTATAGGAAACATGGAATAAACTGAATTTTTTTCCCCCAATGTGTAAAGAAAATGACTAGACTGAATCTGTGCCTGGAAATATTAATCTAACTCTGAAGCTGCACAACACACACAGACACCTTGGACACCTCACCTGTTAGTTGAGCATAGGTGGCTGGGAGGAAGGGCAGGGTGACTGTGCAGAGCAAAGATGTGGGAAGTAGAAATATTGTAGGCTAGACATTACACAGTCATGGGGAAAAGAAAGCTCCATTAATGCATAGCCTAAGGGAGAAAAGGCTACATTCCAACTTGAGAAAATTAATTTAGAAGCATGGGGAAGAGTTTTAAGTAGTTGCAGTTTAACATGAAAAAATGCACATATAATAGAATGGAGCACAATGGCAGATTCAAAAACATGCTCACTGGAGAAATCTTGTTAAATTTGCTTTATCCAGATTAAGAAACAATGCATTTATCAATGCTGGCTTCCCTCATGCATTGTGAAGATGGATGTTATGTAGCCTTGTTTTTTGTGTATATGTACAAAGTAGGATTTACTGCACAGAAACCAAAATGCCAGTGTTTTCTTAAGCCATGGTGTGAAACAAGTGACCTGGTGGCATAGAACACTAAATTTTGGTCCCATGGCTAAAATTTTCCAGTGACTAAAAAGTAGTGCCTGTGAAGCTGAGATCCAACTTGGGTGGCCATTTGATCTCTAAATAGGAGGAATTTTGTACATTCCACAGAGCTCCTGATCCTCACTATATAGTAAATTGATTTTTTTAAAAAAACATAGGCAAAAGACATTTTCTCCACGATTTTTAAACTAATTTTGATTTTAACTGGTTTACCAAAATTTTTACCAAACTTTCAGCAAATTTTACATAAAGAAACATTTTAGAAATCATTTCTAGCGAGCACTTAACACCTAGTCAGCTCTCTACTCCTTTTTTATTTTATTTTATTCTAACAAAGGATTAGAAACATCTTTAAAGGAAATAATTTCTCATAACAAAGCAACATCATATCCCTTATATTTTTGAGTCCTCAATTTATTCACTTGGAAAACCTATCTTCCCATCTACAAAAGTCTACATGTCAAATGCTAGCTTGTTGGTGAACTACTGTATGCAATAGCAACAATAGTACTAAAGTTACTGAGAACTTTCCATGTGCTGAAAACTTTTCTAAATATGTGACATGCTATTTCACTGGAAAGTCACAAAACCTCAGTGAGCTCAGAAACATTTCATTCTTATTTCCAGAATTTTCTTGCAGGTAAGTTTTGTCGTTGTTGTACCTCTAACTAACCCTGTGAGGACAAAGCCTAAATTCCTGGTCTCATCTTCAGGGACCTTGGTGATCTCGCCCTATTGTATCCTGTGAGTTTGAATCTCTTACATTCTACACCCAGTGCTACAGTTACATCAACCAGCTTACTATTTTCTGCACACATCATAGTATTTTTTAGGAAAGATAATTTTCAGCCCAAAATAACTTTTCCCAAATTAAACTTTCATGTTCCAACCCTTTTATTCATCCAACCAATGTGGAGATATAAAAATGAACACAACATGGTTCCCAAATTTGAAAATCTTACTTTCCAGAGGTGATATTGACATATGAGCTTGTATTATAGAATATGAAATATTTTCCCCATCCTCAGCAAAAGTGAATTCATCTTACTCTGATCCTTATTCAGGTACATTTTTAATTTGTCTATTTACTTTTTTTTTTTGAGACAGGGTCTCACTATAGAGTTCAGACTGGGCTTGAGCTCACTTTGTAGTCGAGGCTGGTCTCAAACTCACAAGGATCCTCCTGCCTCAGCTCCTGAGTGCTGGGATTACAGGTGTGCACTACCACGCCCGGCTAATTTGTTTATTTTCTACCTGGTTTTCCACAAACTTATAAATTGTGCCCTTTAGGGTACAGATACACATAAATTACTCAAAAATATTTCTTAGTGAGAGACTTGGAATGAATGAGACTGATCACACAGAATATTTAAGAAACTGTCTGCTGACCCAACCAAGCCGCAGACAGCTGATTTATACATTTTCAGAGAGATGGCTGAAAATACTATAGTCATGAAAGAATGTTCTAAGAATTTCCCTGTCTTAGCCAGGAGATTCACATCATCAGTCTCTTTTTAGTATTCTCCTCTCTTTACTGCAGTAATTATTGGTGCTGACTTGTGGATAAACCTGGAATCTTAATGATATAAAAGTAGGTAAGTGTATAAGCTTTGGAGTCAGACTGACTGGGGATTAGTTTAGGGTCCCGCTAAGATATTAACAGGAATGTGACCTTGGGCAAATTTCCTGACCTCTAAAATGTTCAGCTTCCTCCTCTACAAAATGAAAATGAAATATGTGTCTTTGTGTTTTATGGGGACATAAATGCAATATTGTGCTTAGAAGCATGCCCAGGATATAGTGTTGGAAAACACTGTACTGGTAAAGTGCTAGAAACTTTCTATCTTCTTTTCTCATACGACACTGCTCGTTTCTTATGAAGCTAAGAGAAATAATATTCAGTAACTAAGTGAATATTAAAAGCCCACAACTATTACCAATTATTTAAGCACTTGTTAGGGGTTTGGTTTTTTCCCGTCTAAATTAAGATGCTCAGAATAACATATGATTTCACAATCTAACGTACCATCTAGTTAAAGTAACTATACTGGGCTGGGGATATGGCTCAATGGCATAAGTGCCTGCCTGTGAAGCGCAAGGTCATGAGTTCGATCCCTAGTACCGCAAAAATAAAATAAAATAAAATAAAAATAAAGTAACTATATTCTAAAATTTTGAAATGGAAAAAAAAATTTGAAGTGGAAAAAGTTGTATTAGCCATGGAAAAGCATTTACCTTTTCTCTTCTTTAATTTCCCTTTTGGTGACTTAAGGGTATTATTAAGCATCCTTATTTTAAGTTTCAATCTCAATGCCAGCTTTGTTTCATGGTTTGTTGAAAAATATGATGAAGGTCTAAACAAAGTAATTAACTTTATATTTATAATATATGAGATAAGTAAAGCTATAATTAAAATGTCTCAAATTCAATAATTCTACGTGATTCTAGCAAAGTGGAAAGATCACTTTCTTAGGGGGTTAAATAACAGTTTAGAAGAAGAAATGAAGTAAACAATGCTCTTTAAAACATAATGATGTATTTTAGCAATGGTTTTCATAAACATTTATCAGCATTATTTTGGCAATAATACCATTTTAAGGAGCCCTGAGGAAAAAATAATGCTTTTTTTTTGGGGGGGGGTGTCTTTTTGAGACAGGGTCTTACTATGCAGTTCAGGCTGGCCTTGAGCTCACTTTGTAGCCCAGGCTGGTCTCGAACTCACAAGTGCTGGGATTACAGGCGTGCACCACCACGCCCGACAACAGTTCTTGAAATACGTAATTTTGTTTTACTTTTGGAGAAGTTTCACTGTAAGCGAATATATGTTTGTTTCAAACAGTTTAACATCGACAAAGAGGCTGGAGAAAGGCAGATTTACCATCGCTACTGCATGGAGCGGGCTTCGGTTCACTGCGCTCACGTGTTCAGCACTGTGTCTGAAATAACCGCAATCGAGGCAGAGCACATGCTGAAGAGAAAGCCCGGTAATGATTGCCCCAGAGTTTGTCACCTGTCTTTCAGCTGCAAATGACATTAAGTATGAAGAGGTTTTTCATCATGAAGTAGTCATTACAGGAAAACTGCGTTCACCATTACCACGTAGCCCATGACTTCACCTGTATTCTCACTCTCAGTTGCAGTAGATATGCAGGGAAAACAACATAAGCTGTATCTGAGACACAGTACGAGTTCAATCCGTATTTGTTGAATCAATGAGTTATGCTCAAAAGGACTTAGGTAAAAACAGAATTGACGTAAAGACTTGGTGTGTCTAAGCAAACTGACCTGATCTGCTTTTATTCCATTTTTTTTTTTTTTTGATACCGGAAATCGAACTCAGGACCTTGCACTTGCCAGGCAGGAGCTTGTGCCACTGAGCTATATCCCTGGCCCTAGTCTTGTCTTTTTATTTCTTTATTTTTTAAATTTTTATTTATTTTTATTTTTGAGACAGGGTCTCACTATGCATTTCAGGCTGGCCTTGAGCTCACTTTGTAGCCCAGGCTAGTCTTGAAACGATCCTCCTGCCTCAGCCTTCTGAGTGCTGGAATTACAGGTGTGAGCCACCACTCCCAGCCTTTGATGCATTTTTAAAAATGAAAGAAAAAAACATCAGAAGTTTGTATGAGATTATCCCAGCCTTACATCTTAGAATACTGACTCGTGAGTCCCATGCGGTGGAAATTTATTTTACCTCTCCACAGACCTCCTTGGAAGTTTTTATGGAAACTATTCCCAAACCTAACCAGAATCTGAAATGCAAAGAAATGTGCTCATTAACAGAATCTTCTCACCTGGCCACAGCTGATTGGTTCAAAATTAAACACTGGACATAAACTGGACCAATAGGAATGCTCCCCCCAGGAAGGAGTCTAAGCAGACTAATGTCTGAATGCATTCTTGCGTAATGGAATGCTGAAGCTGGTGGCAGTGTGCATATTTATATTCTGTTCCACTGGAGACAAGAAGGTTAAACTCTAGTGAGCAGAAAGAGAGAGAACTGGGCTCTTTGAAGCAATGTAGTCATTCCTAAGGCCTAGCTTGATCTTCACCATGAGACCCTCCACCCTCCTGTTAACAAATTCTTCATTTTACGCTTAAACCAGTGTTATTAGGTTTCTATTATTTGCAGCAAGAGGGTCCTAATTAATGTACCTTTGCTTAATGCCTGTGGTCTTGCCTTTAGCTATCTTATTTTCAGGTACTGCTTGGATGTCCGGAAGAGGTATTTCAGGGTATTAGATGGAACAAAAACAAACAAACAAACAGTAAGAACCCAACTAATGCATAGTGGCAGCATAATCACCTATGTCATGGTACTCTTTTTGCTTTCCAAAGATTCTTATGGATTTTGAATTCTCTTGGATTCTCACACTCATGTCTCTCCCAGTGTACAATTTCCATATGCTCATTTCTCTCCTGGATCTTCTCTTTTTCTCTGTTTCCGCATCCTTTTATGAGCTTACACAAATGCTTTTTTTTTTGTTTTTTGTCTCTTTGAGACAGGGTCTCTCTATGCAGTTCAAGCTGGGCGTGAGCTCACTTTGTAGCCCAGGCTGGTCTCGAACTCACACGATCCTCCTGCCTCGGCCTCCTGGAATTTCTCTTGAGGCTGTCACCCTGTCAAATGTCTACACAATCTCTTTATATCTCTTGCTGCCAAATATCTCGAAGGACTAAAACCACAGTTCCTGTGTTCACTTACTTCCAGACCTTTGGACTCTGGCTTCTATCCTCCAACACTAGCTTGAACTTGCTTTTCTCAGAAATCATCAAATTCAGAATTCTTTGATTTTTTAAATGTTCCTTGATATTCCCTGGCATTAAAGATGATCGATGCCTCTCTTTTTCTTATTTTTCATAACACTGCAGATACTGAGCTCTCTCTATGATTATTTTTGGATGAGTCCAGTAAATTTTCTATTTTCTTCTGTCTTTTAAAAGTAGATAATCTGGTCTGGGGATGTATCTCAGTGCTAGAGCATTTGCTTAGCATGCATGAGGCCTTGGGTTCAATGCCACAAAAAAGCAAAAGCCGAAAACAAAATCTACCAAAAAAACATAGGCACTCTCTAAAATTATGCTGGATTTTGTTTCTCTATTGACTATTTAATTTTTGTTTTCTGACAGATACAGCTTCAGAGGCAAAAATTGCAGGCTTGATGACAAACTTTCTAAATTCAGTGCCAAAAATGATATTGTGTTGAGCACATGTTCCTAGCGTGTCACACTGCACAAGTTACTTAGGGTCCCTGTGTCTGATCTGCATAATGTGGATGGCAGCCCTGTCTGTTATGTAAAATTGTTGCAATAATTTAAAGAGTAAATATATGGAAAGAACTCAGTTCAGTGCCTAGTCCATTGTAAAAGTTCAGAAAACGTTAGCAATGATTATTTTGTACGGGTGATATCTAGATCTTCCCATGTTCTCAGCTGTCTTCCTGGCTGCCCACTAGTTAGTTTCACCTGAAAGTTCTAACAGAGCTATAAACTCTGTAGTCTAGTCCACTTTCAGACTAGTGTTAGTATCTCATGGGGGCTTGATTGAAATTGTGAAATCTTTCAATGCTTTGAGGCTCAAGAAGATAAATAGACTTTTGGTAGATGATTAAACATATAAAGTTACCCAAGAACGCTCTAAAAAGAAGAGAAGGCATAGTGTGCCATAACTATGATTTTATATTCTTTGGTTTTCTTCAGGTTCTCCCCAATTAAAAATATAACTTCAAGAAGTAAGTGCTGGCTGGGTTAAAAGCTTACACAGGACCAGGTTCCTAAAACATAAATCATTATATTCTAATTGTTGAAAGATTTACTGCTATTGTATTGTGCTTTTATCATAAATTTGATTCATTGTCTAATGTTGGAAAGATGATTGTTTATAATATTGGAGAGACCAGGCATGGTGGTGCATCCCTGTAATCCCAGCACTCAGGAGGCTGAGGTAGGAGGATTGTTGTGAGTTCGAGGCCAGCCTGGGCTACAAAGTGAGCTCCAAGGCCAGCCTGAACTGCATAGCAAGACCCTGTCACGAAAAGACCAAAAAAAAAAAAAAAAAAAATTGGAGACAATTTTTCAATTTGTCATTTGCCCTTTAAAATAGTTATAAGTTTTGAACATATTGATTTCTAAGCCCAGGCTCATACCTTAATCTGAACTTTAGTTTTCCCTCTGTGTTGCTGTCACACAACTTAAAGACGTAGATAAGACCGTCATCTTCTACTTGGGAACAATAGCAAGAAATTAGTAGCTAATGTTGCTTCCAAGGAAAGAAAGAAAACTAGGAAACAGAAATGGAAAGGAGACATTTCTAGTTATATATTCTGAATTTTTGATATGAGTATACGACTTCAGTAAACTAAGTAATCATGTAACTAATTACACTCATGTAAACTAGTTACATTAGTTAATAAATTAAAATTGGAAGCGTTGCTACCTGTACAGGGATGCTATTCACAAATTAAAGATTCTCTTTCTTGTATAGTAAATTCTGAGTGGATCCGTTTAGACAGTATTTGTGACAGTAATGTTACATTAGCATGTTTACTCTAGAGGAAATAGTCACTATGTAAGAATGCCCTTATAATTCTGTGTATATGAAAGAGGCATAAACATATATTTTAAAACTTTTTTTTTTTTTAATATGCAAGTGACTTTACTTATGTTAGTTCTTTGAATGTTTTAAGCTGGCAGAATATTAAAATGTCAGCAAGTATAATCAGGGGTGTCTGCATAAGATACCTAGGCAGAGACTTTTTGTGTGCATATTAGTAATACAGAGTAATGAGATTTTTTTTTTTTTTTGTATCAGGGATCAGACTTGGGACCTCATGCTTGCCAGGAAGGTGCTTATGCAGCTGAGCTAAATCCCCAGCCCAAGTGATTTTTTAAAATTAAATTCAATAGCTTTATTTTTTTTTGGTTGTTTTGCTTGGTCTAGCTTTGACACTTTTTTTTTGGTACTGGAAATTGAACTCAGGACCTTACACTTGCCAGGCAGGCACTTGTGCCACTGAGCTATACCCCTGGCCCTGTGATTTGTTTTGGTGCATGTGTACATGCATTGAACATTTTTAAAAATTATTTTAAAGAGTAAAAGAAGGATAACACAGTAATGGGGGGCTTACTGAATTACAGACAAAGTGGTAGGAAATTATCAATGGTTGTTGTTTTACATATCGTTATCTTCAAGATAGTTTCTCAGGAAAACAAATGGACAAATAATAGTGAGTTACAGACAA